ATCCGACGCCGAGCTGCCAAGCAGAGTACGGCAAGCAAAGCTGCTCCGTGGATCCTCATCCTCTCTTTGCTTTGGGGTTTTGGTGGTTGGTGGCGCAAGGAGAAGATTGAGATCGGGTACTGTGGTATCGGCAAGCCTACTTGGTCACTGGCAGAAACCAGGGTGCCCGAATGGGCCAGTGTATTGGAACCGCAGTGTGAACCTTGCCCTCCACATGCGTTCTGCTACCCGAACTTCGAGGCGAGCTGTGAGCATGACTTCATTCTGAAACCGCATCCTCTATCGCTTGGAGGTCTAATTCCTCTGCCTCCCACATGCGAACCAGACAGTGAAAAAGCTCGACGCGTGAAAGCCGTTGCCGACAAAGCGATTGAAGAGCTCCGTGATCGACGAGCTAAATTTGAATGTGGAGAGCGTCTAGAGGATGGTAAAGAAGTGACGTCTCCGGAAATGAGCGAAGCGGATTTGAAACAGGCGATTGCACAGAAACGCCGTAGAGGCATGAGTGATACTGAATTCGACGAGCTTTGGAAAGGAGCACTCGGCGAGATTGTTGCGAAGGATGAAGTTGTCACCAAAACAAAACAGTAAGTTGCCTATGGGATTTTTCTGTTGATATCATGCTTTCTTTCTTTCTCTGGATATCTCGTTCGTGCCCAGCTTAGTATGTATGCTAGAGCTCTTTCATGTGACCACGGTTCTGACATGTATACCGGAACTAACAGAGACCGCAACGCAATCACAGACCATCCGATGTCCTTGTTCTCTCATCTACCTCAATCGCACGGCTCCCCCTCACATGCGCCTTCCGCCGCCACATCCGACTCTCTCTCCTCGCATATCGACTCCCTCTTTCAATTTTGATTATTATGGTTCTGGGTTCGGTTTACGCTCGAGCAAAAATTCTTGCTCGGCGATCCGATCTAGCTCGAGTCCCAGAGCTGGTAGCAACCACGCTAGATCGCCTAGCGACACAAGCAGCGCTTCATGCTCGCGGTGAGGCGAGGGAACCGTATATCCCCATTGGTCAGTTGCGTGACGACGTCCTCCGTTCTGAGCTTCATGGCAAGCGACGTGAAGAGCTCTGGAGGCGTGTTCGCAATGTAGTTGAGGGCAATGCCAACATTCGCGCTGCGGTCCGCGAGGGCCGGGGTGGAGATGTTGCGCGGGTTTGGGAATGGATTGGGGGTATCGGCGGCGTTCACGGCAATGCTCTCGAGAGCAGCGCTACCCGACGAGAGAGTAACCACCAACTGCCCTACTCGTCTCCCTCGAGCGAGGGAAACCGCCCTCCGGCCGATCAACAACAATTGACGCCCAGAAGTCCGGGGGAACTTCGCCGTTGGGACGAAGGTAGACCCGTCTATTAAGGGACTGCAGTGTATATGATCTATTAAAGGACTGCAGTGTATATGGGTCTTTGAGTTGAACTACCAGCATTTTGGCTCATTTTTGGGTATTTTTATCGCGCTTTACATGTACAGTATCGAGTTTCATGATTCCCCTGCCAGTAAATCTACCAATAGGTCCTCCCGTGCATAACTTGCTCATTTTTTGGTTTCCCGGCATTTTCTCGTGTCTTTCTCGAAGCCATCTGGCCTGATGTAGTACACAGCTACCTGTATACAGGAGCCCAGATGTATCAACCCCTTTGCCTGGCTTCGCAGCTATGGTCTGACTCGCCCTCAAATGTCAGTCGTCCTGATATCCCTAACCCGAACCTTGGGTTGTTGAACCACGGCCGACAGTGGTGTCCAAGCGCCACGCCCCATCCAGAAGGACAGCCCACATACCAGCCATGTGGGTTGTCAATCCATTCGATCAAGACTGCTTTGCTAGGTTCTTATTTGTCAGATCTGAATTCGAGCTGCAGCCACGAAAATTGTGGCTGCAGAGCTCCTCGATTATTCGACTGATTTCCCCGGGCTATTGCTAGGCATGGTGTTGCAGCCAGCGATTCCCTTTTTGGCACATCGAGGTCGATTCCAGAGTTTGAATACCCCAGTGGGCTGGTCGTCGCCTCTGTTTTTCGCTTGGTTTCGCTTGGATGCGGCGTGGAGACACAAATTTGCCACCTATGTATGATTAACCAGACTTATCAGTGCAGAGTACACCGATGATTCACTCCCTCGCCTCTACTGGCAGCCGTCCCAGCGAGCGAAACACTACGTTGTCTTCCATCATTGGACGATCGTGCCTATCATTCAGCATCCGTTTCACAGCCGCAGGTCCGCAAGGACTGTCGCTTCGATCGCGGATACCTTATGTATTCCACACAAGACTCAATTGAGCGGTAATACCTCCCTAATCTTGTAGATAATTAATGCGCACCGTTAGCCATGGGTCCGCAAGCCACCAACTTATGAGTCTGGCTTGCCACGTTCCCACATCGGTGAATTCGGTTGTTGAAAACTCGAAGTCGCCTACAGGTAACACAAATCAACACTGTAGAGTTCTTGGGGTTCTTGGCGGCGTTGATCACCCTTTCCAGCACCAGCCTAAGAAGAGATGGAGATGCCTGCCAGAATAACCGTGAAATTATCACTTTTTCACGACCACAGCCTGTTTTTCTGACCGATTGACTACCACGGCGGTTCATCGGTCCACATATCCAGGGAACGTCGTACGGACGTTCTGAGTGGAATCTTGTAGAATTGCTAATGGAGACAGGCTGGCGACGTAGGTGGCTCTTCCTTTAGACCAACTCTCGGCAGCCTTAGGCCAGAAGGCGGGGGCAAGGCAAAAAAGGCGGTACGTCGTCCGTATGGCCAGCGCCCAAATTTCACGTGAACGTCATGGAGTTACCTTTTAGAAAAAAACGGCAAAGGTGAGCATACGTCAGCATCGTCTGCATCAACCAGCCATAACCTCAGCATGGCGCATTCGACTGTTCGAATCCTGTATTCTAGTCCACCTTAGGTCGGTACGGAGGTGCCTTGGTCTCTGGTTGCCTACCCATGGTTGGTGGTTCTGATATGCGTGGGGATTTGCGGTGCGTCTTCGAATCCCGACGGGGATTGGATAAGCTCGTGTAAGGAATTGCGTACAGGAGCACTGCATTTCCAGGTAATCGTGGATCCATCATGCAACCGAAGCAGAACCCCTTTTCTGATCAAGATGGTAGCCGTCGCGTCTGGCGGGGCTCGCAATAATTGTTGTTATTGTTTCTTTTCGTCCCAAAGAAGACGGCGCCCCATTCAACTGAAACCATCGGCCTTGCAAACTACGGAATGTCCCTTTTGGCACCCTATCATATCCAACGGATATTTTTTCCGATAAGGGAAAGTTATCGAACTATTGCCGAAGATTGACGCCCACAAGGTGTCACGACATCAATAGTGCGATATTTGCTGCTACAACCAGAGTAGACGGCCCGAAGTGGAATGCAGAAAGCGACCCCTTGGACAGTCGTCTAGATTCGGCATTCCTCAGAGGACACGCAGCCGAAGAGAGATTCCTGGCCCTCGAACATTGCACGCAGATGATTCAAGCAAAATAGCAGCGGAATCAGTCATGACTAGGGTGAGGGAAGGAGGAGGAGGAGGAGGGGGAGAATGGAGGGGGAGAATGGAGGTGCAAATATACGAGGGTCTCCAGCTCTGCGTTCAAGGGCCCGGCGCTCGGATTGATCTTACCACGATTGCTCAATGGCCCTAGCTGGAGGGTACCTGTCTGCCTATCAGAGTCTGACACCCTACCTGATCCTCGATGCTCCGCTTCAGAGCAATTACTGGGGACACTGATCATTGGTTCAGTCAAGCTGAATGCTCCATCGACGCTTTTCAAGCATTCTCATTGATGGACCAGCTTCCTTAGATCTGGGGCTAATCCTTTAAACCCGCATCGCTCCTAGAGGGAAGCCCCGAAGAGGCTAAGAGCAGCACTACTCTCGACTCTTGACAACTGTCTCCAGATTCACTTTCCTTTCTCTCCAGCCTGAAATTAAGGATCTTCTATCCCGTACCCGAAAGGCCCTTAGGCACGCTTGTTTAAAGGGCCTTTCCGCTTATCGGTTATCATCCAATCCTTGTTCCCTTTGAGTCTTTTGGTTTAAACAATCTCTCTACCCATTCTCTAAAACTACGGAGTAAAGGTTACCAAACCTCCTGGAAGAGTTGGAAAGTCGGGAGGACCCACGGAAAGTGGGAACGGCCCGTGGATGAGGCAAAAGTGTCAGAGCCATTTGAAAGCTTCATCTTTTTTGTATCCTTTTTCTCCACCTCCCTTCAGTCTTCTTCGTTTTCGACCCTTTTTCTTTTAATTTCCTTGTGACACATTGTTGATGATCTGTTCCGGAAAACTTGTCGGTGTTGACGGCGCTCTCCAATCTCGCATTTTGGACCAGATTATTCTGCACTTCTGCCCACATACCCACTTACCCACTCACCTGGATGCCTCTACACACCATTGGACTGGCCGAGTTAATTGTTTTGGGTGTCGATCTCTTCCTGCTGAGGTTGAGAACCGCAGGCCCAGTTTGCCTGAAGCATTAAGCAGCGTCGGTTCCCCGAACCTGGCTTAGCGCTCCAGGTGACTTACCTTTCCTCAAATGCTCTTCTGATAGAGAGAGCATGTATGTCCGTTGAGCACTTGAGGTTTGGTTCACCCCCTCAAAGAAGGAGTATGATTAGAAGAAAACTCATCGTCCCGAGTCCAGTCTGGCCTTTCCTCCCTTAGCTAGCCTCATCCGGTTCCTTGTTTTTTTTCATATCTTTGTTCCTTACCTCATCAGACCATGTCTCATCAAGGGCCCCCTAGGCCTTTTCGCCCTATCGCCCCAAGAATTTTGTTAGATACGCCAACAGCGGGACCTGTCGCTGAGGAAAATAAGATACGGAGAGCATCAACAGCTTGCACAGAGTGTCAACGACGTCGGACCAAGGTACCTTTCCCCTGCGAAGCACGTCCCTTCTTTCGCAAATATCCCGGTGTGAATGAATGCGCGGCATCTTGAATCTGCTCTTCTTTTATGTCCTCTTTTCTAAGTACACCATTCTGACATGCTGCTTTCTCTACTCGTTTTAAAGTGTAGTGCAAACTCGACCGGTACCCCATGTTCCGAATGCGCCCTCCACGGCCGAGATTGCATCGTCGACGAGTATGCCGACAAACGCCGTAAGGTTGCGCGAGATCGCGTCCAGGAGGAGTTAGCGTACTATCGCGAATTTGTGCAGCAGCTGCTGGCAGCCATTCGGCACGGCAAACGTACAGACGTCGACGCCATTATCAATGTCATCCGGTCGGGAGCCTCACTCGAGAAGATACACTTGATCGTCACCCAATCACTGAGTCATACAAACGAGGCCGATGGCCTTGAGATTACGGTCCACGATCTGACAAATGTACCGGACGGCGTATCTGGGAACTCGTCTCCCGATGCGAAAGAGCCGGATGGCGTATCTGCGGAAGCGTCTCCCGATGTCAAAGAGCCGAATGGTGTATCTGTGGAATCGTCTCCCGATGCTGGGCTGAGTGCGATCTTGAATAAAGATTCATGATCTGAAAATCAGTTCTGTAGGCCGTTGGCAACGATGGTCTCCGTTTCTGCACATGCCATCGCTTTGTGGCATTGTTCCCACCGCCGTGCCAATGCTTTGCAAAATTAGTGTTCTTTCTTGGAGCTAATCCTAGGCCGCAATCTTGCTTAGCACAAGAAGAGGGTGACTACATGGCCATTAGCCTTGAACCATCAGTTGACATGCTTCTAGCCTCAAGCCGGAACAGAATTAGGTGCCGTATGGGCTAAGACTGCCAACAACTGGCTTCCTCAGCCTGTCTTCATTCTTGTCTTTACTTTCTTTCGCTACCTTTTCCTGCTCCCAATCGATTCATCATTTATCATACTACCTGGCCGATTCAGTACTTACTTCCTCTTCCCACCCGCGTCGGTTCCCCGCCGACTGGGAGCAGTGAGAACGTATCTGTCCTTTCACCGACGCTATCGGCTGTGGAGTTGCAGCCGCAAGGGATGCATGTTGATCAAACCTGAATTTGATCCAACGCCGCAAGTTGGCATCTACTGCCGCGATAGGAGTGTTTCAGTTTATCGAATGTCGACAGCGCACAGCTGCATGCTGGTTTTGCCTCAATGAGCTGAGCGTGTTCGACCTGTCCTGCCATGTTGTCCACGTGCTCAAAACACCATTCTAGCATCAGATCGATCGCCGTCATCAATGATTGGGCATCGCCGGGACGCGACAGCTACATTCATCGCTTGGCAGTCTCTGACTGCACGAAGTTCTATCAGGGGCCTCTCACCCACCCTGGAGAGCGTTGATTCACGGTCTTTCCTTTTCATTCCTGGCGTACGGGGTATGCGTTGTGCATAAGCTATTCTCAGGCGATGTGGGCGATCTCGGTTGTTTGGCGCCATTCTGATGACCGATATATACGAAGCGGATTGTCATTGCTCGGTCCAGAACAGCTCAGGAGCTTTTCTCTGGTTCTCATCTACGTGGTCAAACATTTTGGCATGGTCGAGCCCCGCTTCGCTCTCGGGGTTTCCATTGTGCTTGACTCATTGTCGTTTAGTCGGTGCAATGCTGTAGCTAATTAGCCTAACTCATAGACTGGAACTTTGCTGTGGACTTTGATTTTCTACCATCGAAACTCTTCTTTTGCGTTCTTAGACTCGGCGTCGACTCAGGAGCACGTGACGGGGTGTTCACTGGGAGACGTGATCTTGAGCAGCCTGCATTGAGATATTCAGCGCAACTCGATATCCCCCATATAATTACAACACAATATCACCAGTTCTCTTTCCAACTAACATGGGGGTTTTCACGGCCCTCGCCAACTGGCAGCTGTGGAGTACCGTCATCCTCCAAGTCACCAACCCCGCACGTCTCCAAACTTCGACCACGACACTAAGACCAAGAAAGAGACGATGACTGGAGCTTCTGCCGTTGGGCGCGGCACTCCTCCGAACTCGCTCGGAAATTTCTCCATGTCAGCATCAGTCATCCCCGTTTCGAACGTCTGTCTGTCTTCTAATGCTTGTACGATGGCAGCGGAAAAAAGGAAAAGAAGACAGTAGGACAGGAAATTCCCACCGCTCCGTCTCGTGCCTAGAAAAACGACCTGCGCAGAGTCCCCTGTCTCGCCTTCCGAACCAATGAGGGCTTCTCTTATGAACGGGGTACATACGCACCTCTCGCCCGGAAATGACAGCGTCGTCGGAATTAGCACAGATGGCCCGTACCTCGCTGGGCGGCGGAAGCGAAAGGCATCTGACTCGTCGTCGCCAGCAGCCAAGGGCCCTGTGCAACGGCAGAAGATTACACGAGCATGCGACTACTGCAAGGAGAAGAAGACGCGCTGTACGGGGACGCTGCCGTGTATGAGATGTACCCGCCTTGCGCTGCGCTGCGAGTACAATGCTGCGTACTCGCGTGGCCTACCCCCGGTTCCGTTGCCGGCGCCACCGTCGTCGTCATCGCTGGTGAACTATGCGGATGAGAACCATGCGCGGGGAGGTACTCGTACTGCGCGGAGTTCCGTCTCTCAGCGATCGTCGAGAGAGTCGCCCAGGACTGGCGTGGGTTTGCGATTGCAGCATGGTAGAGCTGGTTCGGAGGTGTCGCTGCGTGATTCGCCGGAGCCGGTTGTCACGGACTTTGAGGGTAACTATCTCGGGCCGGCGTCTGGAGTGTCGTTCTTGAATCGCGTCTGGAGTCGCCTTCATCAGGATGAGTCGTCGGCTATCCCTGGCGGACTGCAAGATGAATCTGCCTCCAGGAATACGTCCGTTTTCAAGTTCGGGGATAAGCCTTATTCGAACTACCGGGAGGCTGGCTTTACGCTACCATCTTTCGAGAAGGCTCTGGAGCTTGTGGGCATTTACTTTGACTTTTCGATGGTGACTTACCGTTTCTTGCATAGAGGAAGCGTGGAGGGATGGCTCAAGCAGGTTTATGCAGACAATATCTGTTTCGCGAACCCGCCTACCGGTGTTATGGTAGCCCGGACTGCCATCATCCTTATGATCTTCGCTGTAGGTACTCTATATGAGGAACAGAGGCCTGGCGACCCAGGAGAATTTCGCAATGAAAGGTGAGCATCTACGGACTCACTTCTTGTCTACAAATACTCAGAGACTACCAGCGAACGATGGTATGCAGCGTCCAGATGGGCCTCTTCTATGGAATCCGGACCCCCGCGGTTAGAGACTGTCCAAGCACGATTAGGTCAATGTCTCTACTTGCTTTCATCATCGCGGGCCAATGAATGCTGGTATACCTTCGGCACGGCTCTCCAGCTGGTGACGGCTCTCGGATTGCATCGGAAATGGCCGGCGAAGATGTCAAAGCATGGCAACTCTTATTTGGAGCAACAACTCCGCAAACGGATTTTTTGGAGCGCCTATACGCTGGACAAATACCTCAGCGTCATGTTTGGGAGACCGCGGTTGCTGCATGATGAAGATACCGACCAAGAACTTCCGGATGAAATCAATGACGAAGATATATTAGAGGAAGATCCGCGGCGCCGGACCGGTTCACCAGATTGCATGATGATTGCGTCGTTGCTTCATTACAGGTTTGTAGATTGATTTTATGCTATCCCTTCATGCAACTGAAGCTAAGCCTTCAACTTGGCAGGCTTGGTCGTATACTCGGCGAAATCTCTCGACAGCTTTACACTATCAACCCTCATACTCAAAATTCTCCTCTTGAGACCGCTGCTCGCCTTGCCTCGGATCTTGAGAAATGGAAACAGACTGCACCACCTTTGTTCAACAGTGTCCGAGCGACGAGCCTGATCCCGCCACTTTGCAGGCAGAGTCAGGTTTTGCAGCTCGCATATTCGCACGCTATGATCCATGCGACCCGATCATTTCTGTTGAATGATTTCACGGATCTCAGTCGTCGACCATCGGTTCCACATCCGATGGTTTCGAGCCACGTGCGCAAATGCATAGACGCCGCGGGAGACGTGATGAAATTAGTGGATAGCCTGGCCAAGCAAGGGGTCTTGATCCAGTCATTCTGGTTTACGCACTATGTGTGCTTCTGCGCCATCATTGTGGTCTACATCCACACCATTCAACAGCATCGACTCGCTTCGAATTCGGACACCGCTTCCCCTAGGAGTGTAGAAGACAGCGGCTACCTTCATTCACTCTTCAGTCTTGCAGAGACTTGCCAGCAACATCTGGCGGAGGCTACCCGCAAGAATTGCCCTAGTCGCCGCTATAGTATTATCCTGGAGGAGCTGAGAAAGGAAGTACATCGGCAGATTGGAACACCTATTCAACCTGGGAGTCCGGAAAACTCTCATGGAAATCTGCGCAGCAATCACGTAGGAGGCAAAGAGACTCTCATGGTGGGTCAAGGGCATGCAAACCCGGTGCATGTTGAGCAAACGGCCCCTATGTTTACCAACGCAACGGTCCATCAGCCCGCATCTAACGGTATGCAATCGCCGAATTTTCTGGAAGGGCCCGTTGGAAATTCTGAGGACTTTGGTATTCTTGATAATCTTGAGGGCTCGATCTGGTGGGCTCAGCTCGATTCCTGGGTAAGTAGATGTACTCCAGCTGCTGCAGTTTCCAGTACCTGATCGAAAATGCTTACTGGTCTTTATTCAGGCGTTCTCGAATCAGTGATCCTTCTACGATACCTTTCTGAGTTGCTCGTTCTGAACCATCCTGTGGTCGTCCACTTGTTACGCGATTCCTTGCCTGCTGGTTATGTAAAGCGACGATACATGACATTGGTTAATGAGATTATGGTACTGATGATGGACCTTTGTGTGCTTCCTATTTCATATTTCATGGGAATACTTCTCAATGCATTCGTCTCCTTGTCTGTAGATTAGTAGATCGAAAGACCTATTCCAGAGGCACTAGTAGTCGAGGTTGCTGGTCTACTGATGATAGTGAGCTGGCAGTAAGTACGTATGTACCATTTTTAGTCCTGTATCACACAGACTACTCGGTCGAATAAAGCAAGCGATAGACAGGCAAGTCTTTTCCGGTCAATGATGCTCGGATTTACTGAGAATGGGCAATTGCCTCATCTCCGCTCGGATATAAATCCGAACGAGACGCCAGCATTTCCGCACTCACACAACAGGCAGACCTGAATGAAAGCCTGCAACTGTCGGATTTGAAGGATCATCGGCAGATGCCGTATGTGAGTATCAAGTCAAGATGGATTTAAATATACTTTGTTCCCCTTTCGTACTTCAAGTCGTTCGAAAGGCCAACTGCACATTCTGTTGGACTTCTCGTTCCAACATCTACCAACCATGCTATCCTCCCCAATTGTTCCAACAACGCTTCCTGAAGGGCATACTTCAGAAAACAGAGTTCGTCCTGAAGTATCCGACAGAGAGCCCTTGACAGTCGACGAGCTCGTCCGGCACCGCGCATCCTTACCACCATCGCAGCAGCCAGTGATATCATACCCGCGGACTGGCGTCGACTATGTGGATTACCCGCTACAACAACTCGATGTCTTCGCTTTTCGAGTCGCCAAAGCCATTGCTGCTCTGG